GTGATATCATCAGCATTTTGGTGAAATCGGTGTTCAATGTTTACTTAGAACTCTATAAGCATTACTTATACCTGAGCCCACATCGTTTCTTATACAACTGTTTATTTTCCTGGGGTTCTTTTATACTTATCATTAACATATCCCAAAGCTCTTCTACAGAGCAGTCTTGCTTTACAGTACATCTGAGCATATCAGGTCATTTCTGGAGCCCTCTGTCCCCCTGCTGCAGCCTGGTCTGTCACTCTAGACCAGTGGTTCTCAACCTTCCTAATGCCACGACCCTTTAATACAGTTCCTCATGTTGTGGTGACCCCCAACCATAAAATTATTTTCGTTGCTACTTCATAACTGTAATTTTGCTACTGTTATAAATCGTAATGTAAATATCTGATATGCAGGATGTATTTTCATTGTTACAAACTGAACATAATTAAAGCATAGTGATTAATCACAAAAACAGTATGTAATTACATATGTGTTTTCCAATGGTCTTAGGTGACCCCTGTGAAAGAGTTGTTCGACCTCCAAAGGGGTCGCGGCCCACAGGTTGAGAATCACTGCTCTAGACCTTCTGCACAGCTGTTAGCCTAGAACTTCATTTCCCCACTATCCTTGGAAGTCCCCTCACCTTTGTCCTCTCTGAATCTCCTATTCTTTGTGTCCTATAATCCTCCTTGGATTATGCTCCCATTTGGATGAAACACGTTCTCTAGTAGTTTACCAAGGAAAGGGTGTGAGAGAAATCTTTGAGACCCTGTCTTAAAAGATCTTTATTTTATGCTTGCAATTGAGCAATGGTTTTGGCGGATCTTAGAATTCCTAATTGGAAATCACGTTTTACAGAATTTAAAAATTTTTATCTTTATTGTTGAAAGTATTACAAATGTCCCCTTTTTCTCCCCTCTAACCCTTTCTAGCCCACATCTGCCCCTCCACCCCAGGCCTTCACCACACTATTGTCTGTGTCCATGAGTTATGCATATATGCATATAAATTCTTTGGTTAATCTCCTCCCACACACCATACACCCCCGCCTTCCTCCTGAGATTCAACAGTTTGTTCTATGTTTCTGTGCCTCTAAATCTATTTTGTTCCTCAGTTTATTTTCTTTAGATTCCACATATGAGTGAGATCATGTGATACTTGTTTTCCTCTGACCGGCTTATTTTGCTTAGCATAATGCTCTCCAGGTCCCTCCATGCTGTCTCAAAGGATAAGAGATCCTTTTTTACTGCTGCATAGTACTCCATGATATAAATGTGCCACAGCTTTTTTTATTTTTTATTTTTTATCTACTCATCTGATGGGCACTTGGACTGATGAAAATTGTACTGCTAGGGACATACAGGTGAATGCATTCTTCCTGATTGGTGTTTTGGGTTTCTTAGGATATATTCCTATAAGTAGGATCACAATTAATATTTGACAAAGAAGGCAAGAGCATACAATGGAGTAAAGATAGTCTCTTCAATAGTGTTGAGAAAATTGGACAGGTATATGCAAGAAAATGAAACTAGACCACCAACTTACATCATACACAAGAATAAACTCAAAATGGATAAAAAACTTAAGTGTAAGTTATGAAACCATAAAATCCTAGAAGAAATCATAGGCAGCAAAATCTCTACATATCTCAGAGCAATATGTTTGCTGATATATCTCCTAGGGCAAGGGAAACAAAAGAGAAAATAAACAAATGGGACTACATCAAAGTAAAAAGCTTCTGCACAGCAAAAGAAGCCATCAATAAAACGAAAAGGATACCCTCTGTACAGGAGAACATATTTGCCAATGATACATCTGATGAGGGGTTATTATCCAAAATATATAAGGAACTCATACAATTTAACAAAAGGAAGGTAATCCAATTTAAATATGAGCAAAGGACCTAAATAGACACTTCTCTAAAGTAGACATACAGAAGGCCAAGAGACATATGAAATAATGCTCAAAGTCACTGATCATCAGAGAGATGCAAATTAAAATGACAATGAGGTATCACCTTACGCCTGCTGGAATGGCTACCATCAACAAATTAACAAATGAGAAGTGCTGGAGAGGATATGAAGAAAAGGGAACCCTAGTACATTGCTAGTGGACATGCAGACTGGTGCAGCCATTATGGAAAACAGTATGGCGTTTCCTCAAAAGATTAAATATGGAACTGCCATTTGTTTGCCCAGAATTTTGAAGTCATTTTACCTTTCAAGTTTCAAGGGTTTCTCTTGAGAATCTGATGCCATTCTGACTTTTGCTATTTTGCTAAGACTTTTTTTCCTCTTTGGAAGCTGTAAGGATCTTTTCTTTATTTCAAGTGTTCTGAAATAACCATTGTTATATATTCTGGTGGGGGTAGTTTTTAATTAATTGCATTGATTATTCTACTGGTCCTTCAATCTAGAAATTCTTTCATTTCTAGAAAATTTCTTGTAATATTTCATGGACAATTTCCCTTTGTTTTCTCTGTTCTTTTCTTTCTGGAATTTTTCTTAGAAAGATGTTAGAGATTTAGATCTTTCAGGGAAATTTCTTCAACTTACCTTACAAATTTTAACATTGTCAAATTTTAATATTTCTGCTATTACATTTCCAGGTCCTCTTTCTTGTTCTCTAAATGTTCTTTTCCAGAGCTTCCTGTTCTTGTTTTATGAATTCAGTGTCTTTTCCTTGAGACTGTACTAACTATATATTATTTTAATATTATTTTCTATTCTCTGCATTGTTTTTAGTATTATTATTATTATTATTACCTCCCTAGTTTCTTGTTTTTCTTTGTTTGTTTTAGTCTCTGACTTTTAAAAAATGTTTAGTTAATTTATTTTAAAAAATGTTTTTATTGATTTCAGAGAGAGAAAGGAAGAGGGAGAGATAGAAACATCAGTGATGAGAATTATTGATCAGCTGCCTCCTGCATGCCCCACACTGGGGATTGAGCCAACAAACTGGGCATGTGTCCTGACCAGAATCGAACTGTGACCTCCTGGTTATAGGTCAACACTCAACCACTTAGCCACACTGGCTGGGCTGGTCTCTGACTTTTAAGTTGGAGGCTTTCTTGAAAAGTTTAATGATCTGCCCTGTCCAGATGGTTCAGTTGGTTGGAGCATCTCACCTACACCAAAAGGTTGCGGATTCAGTTCCCAGTCAGGGCACATTCCTAGGTTGTGGTTCCATCCCTGGTCTGGGCACCTCCAGGAAGTAATCAATCGATGCTGCCTTCAGAGCCCCTCTAGATTATTTTTCCAGCGCCCTCATTCTTATTTTCTTTGTTGTGTTATGTGGGGAAGGGAAGGTAGCAGGTTTGGGCAAAGGGTAAAGTTGGGCTGAAGTGCCATTACTATAAGAAATTCACATTAAGTAAAATACTATAAGTGTCTTGTCTTTTTCCAGGGTTGAGGAGGGGTAGTTGCCTGACCCCATAGGAAGAGGAGGAGATTTAGGGACTAACTGCTGTGGTTTTCAGTTGACCCTGCCCTTGTATCTCTTGTGGTCCTTGGGCCTTTGTGAGATTTGGTGCTGGAATTGGCTGCTCCTTTTGCTGCAATAGGTGTCACCTGCTCTGATCTGCTTTGCTTCTTATTACATCCATCTGCTTTCCAGTTCCCAAAATTTTGTTGACATGTCTCCTGTTGTATTTTCTTCTTTGTTGTTCTTTTCCTTGAGTGTTTATACCTTCCCCTGACCCCTTACTGTCCTTTCAGTAGGATTTGGGGAGTGAATGAAGATAAAAGCTTGTTTTCAGTTTTTATTCGCCTATGTGGTATTTCTGAAGATCATTTTAGGAATATTTCAAATAATGATATGTTATTAAATTGAACATATAGCCCCACCTGGTGACAGTTCTGAAGATAAGTATTCATTTAGTATCATTACTTCACATACAACCTAGGGCTTATGGATTTCTCTTTGTCTTCTGAAACAATATTAAATTAGGTTACTTATAAAATTACTAGAGGCCTGGTGTATGAAATTCATGCATTCAGGGGTGTGGGTGTCCCTGAACACGGCCTGTGCCCTTTCGCAGTCCAGGAGCCCTCAGGGGATGTCCAACTGATGGCTTAGGCCAGGGGTGGGTAAACTTTTTGACTTGAGGGCCACAGTGGGTTCTTAAACTGGACCGGAGGCCTGGAACAAAAGCATGGATGGAGTGTTTGTGTGAACTAATATAAATTCAAAGTAAACATCATTACATAAAAGGGTTCGGTCTTTTTTTTTTTTTTTTTTTTAGTTTTTTTCATTTCAAACGGGCCGTAGTTTGCCCACGGCTGCTCTAGATTCTAGAGTCTAAAACCTCTTCTAGATTTTTTTCACACTTGGCTAGCACCTGGCTTGAGTGGCTCTCCTGATTGTAAGACCCAGTCTCTCATCTCTAAGGAGTCCTAGCCCCTGACCATGTTGTACTCTGGCCATGACTGCTGCACATTTCTGTTTACTGTCACTATGGGGCAGGTGTACACCAAAGGACTGCCATGTGTGACCTGGGTGCCAAGCCAGCTTGTCAACGCTGTCTCAGCCAGCAGCTCTTGGATGCTGCAGTTTATGACAGGACCAGTGAGCCCTGCTGCACCGCTTTTGCTATGAAGTGAGTCTGATCAGATGTCTTGTGGGATCCTATATCAGTGGATTACTCTGTAAGCCCTCATATAGTGGTGCTGGCTGGGGCCCTGTGTGCAGGAAACCCATATCTGGGTTAGGTGTTGATTCCTGTCAATGTGAATGGCTGCTCTTTCCAAGATGGAATAGGTCCATTGGAGTCATCTTGCTACCAAATAACTAGTTGGTCTCCTGAGGGGTGGTGCTGTATCAGGAGCTCTGCAGTGGTTCTGTTACTGGCATAGTGGGCATTCAGCAATGGTAGTGGGTAGGTTGGTCTTGGTTAGTGGAGTCTGATCTTCCATTATTTGCATTTTTCGCCTTATGAGTGAGGTTGAGCATCTTTTCATACAGTTAAGACCCATTTACATTTCTTTCATTGTGAACCATCAATGAAGTATATACATGTATACTACAGTATACTAGAGGCCCAGTGCACGAAATTCATGCACTTGAAGGGGAGGATCCCTCAGCCCGGCCTGTGCCCTCTTGCAGTCTGGTAGCCCTCAGGAGATATACGACTGATGGCAGTTGGACATCCTTAGCCCTGCCACAGAGGCAGGAGAGGCTCCCGCCACCGCTGCTGCTCTCACCAGCCATCAGCCTGGCTTCTGGCTGAGCGGTGCTCCCCCTGTGGGAGTGCATTGACCGCCAGAGGGCAGCTCCTGCATTGAGCATCTGTCCCTGGTGGTCAGTGTGCATCATAGCAACTGGTTGTTCCATCATCTGGCTAACACTGGCTCTTTGACATCCCCTGAGTGGTCTGGGATGGTGAGAGGGCACAGGACAGGCTGAGGGACCTCCCCTGGTGCACGATTGGGGCCAGGGAGGGATGCGGGAGGTTAGCCAGCCGGGGAGGGACTGCAGGAGGGCTCCAGAGTATGTCTAGCTCATATCGCTGAGTCCTGATTGGCTGGACCCTAGCAGCAAGCTAAGCTGCTGGTCAGAGTGTCTGCCCCCTGGTCGTCAGTGCACATCATAGCAACTGGTTGACTGGTCGACTGCCCACTGGTGGTCACTACACGTCATAGTGAGCAGTTGAGAGGCCTTAGCATATCATTAGCATATTACGCTTGGATTGGTTGAACAGCCCACTGGACGACCGGACACTTAGCATGTTAGGCTTTTATTATATAAGATTTTTCACATTAGATTTGAGGAATCTACAAGGATGCATATATCATATACATAGAAAAAATATGATAATGCCAGAAAAAGAAACTATTAAGTTGATGTACACTCAAGATTATAGCAGTCAAAACAGTATAGTATTTTGCCGAAACCGGTTTGGCTCAGTGGATAGAGCGTCGGCCTACGGACTGAAAGGTCCCAGGTTCGATTCCGGTCAAGGGAATGTACCTGGGTTGCAGGCACATCCCCAGTAGGAGATGTGCAGGCGGCAGATGATCCATGTTTCTCCAT